CCGTCACCCTCAGAGGGAAGAAGTTCTTCCTCCTGTTCAGCTGGAGCTTCCTCTGCTTCAGTTTGTGCCCGTTGCCCCTTGTCCTGTCACTGGGCACCACTGGGAAGAGCCTGGCCCCAACCTCCTGACCCGCACCCTGCAGATATTTATCGTCATTTCTAAGGTCCCCTCTCAGCCTTCTCTTCTCCAGGCTGGTAGTCAGAACCGTCAGGAGAAGGGGACACGGGAGAGCGGCGTGGTGTGCCAAAGGGCAGGCCACAAGCCAGCAGCCGAGCGAGAAGCAGAATCCAGACCGCCTGAAGCCCAGTCTGGGACCGTACCCAGTGACCGTGCTGCCGCTGAACGCGCCGCTGTTCTGTTCTTTCTTTGCAGTTCGGGATCGGGTGCGATCGAAGATGGAGAGAGATATCTTGGCAGAAGTGAATCATCCTTTCATCGTCAAGCTTCATTATGGTAACTATAATAAAATGTAATTGATGTTTGTTCTTAAATGGGTTGGGGAGCTGTAACTAGTTGTGTTATCCTTTCATACAGATACCCCCTGCCTGCTTATGACTGACAAAATCATAGAGGCTACCTGTGTGAAATTCTTCATTTATAGAATGAAGAATTTATGCTGAAGGAGAATTTCAGTTTAAGTAGGTTATAGCCATTCCTATATCAAAAGACGTTTGTCATAAATGTAGCACATGATAGATGGTGCTGGTGGGAGTCTACATCTGCCAACCCCCTCACCTGCTGCCAGGTATCATTTGGAAAACCAGAGAATCTAAATTAAATCGATTTTTTAATAATCACCACCAGTCCAAATTTGTGTACGGGTGTTTGTGAATGTGGGGTCGTGCTGGAGCTGCCTTCCTCCACCTCACCAGCTCCCTGAGGAGCCCCGAGATTGCTGTAAAGGATCTTCCGAGGACGCTCGGGGTAGCGTGGGCTCTCCCCTCGCACAAAGCTGGAGCTTCTCGCTATGCCCAGCCCTCAGTGACTCCAGGAACCTTGCGCCATGGACAGCAATATTAATTCATAGGTGCTTAGCATGGAGAAGAATATATTAGTAATGCGTTATTGTCTCTCAGCTGATACCATTTTTTCCCGTAGTCTAAGCTCAATTGCTTGGTTCTGTACAGAAATTAAATTTTTCCGTTCTCAAAGTGCTGACGTGACAGGGAAGCTAATGGCATGAATGATACGCTGCAAGTCAAGCAGATTAATTGTTTGGAGACTTTATCTTGGTTCAAACTTCCAACATCTCCATCCTTCTCTAATGCAGCCTTTCAGACAGAGGGGAAGTTGTATCTAATACTAGATTTCCTGCGGGGAGGGGACCTTTTCACAAGACTCTCCAAAGAGGTAAGCTGATAGATTTTGCCTTCAGAAATGAAAGACTGTCCTTGATTTCCAGAGCTACAGATGAGTTTGGTGGGAATGAAAAATGGCCTCTGCTGTATAGATGTAATAGAGCTGTACCATCTTGCATCTTTAAGTGTCTTCTTATTAATTGCATTTGAATTGTGCCATAGGCACAGCAGCAGGTAGCATGTGAGCATCACCTTCGAGTAGAGCTGCACCTCAGTTCAGCCATTCCCGTAGGAATGAAGAAGAACTTCTTCCCTCTGAGGGTGACGGAGCCCTGGCCCAGGCTGCCCAGGGAGGCTGTGGAGTCTCCTTCTCTGGAGATATTCCAGCCCCGCCTGGACGCGGTGCTGTGCAGCCTGCTCTGGGTGACCCTGCTTGGGCAGGGGGTTGGGCTGGGTGACCCACAGAGGTCCCTTCCAACCCCGACCATTGTGTGATTCTGTAGCAAAATAGCCCCAGGCTCCTCACTCGTGGTGCCAGCAGCCACCTCGCACGCAATCTTTAAACGCAAAGCAGGGACCTTTTGAACCCCGTCTTGGAGGAAGCCGCGTTCGTTCTGCTTGATTTGGGGGGTTACTGATGGACTAAAAAAAACTGTGAAAACAGTATTTTCTTCCACAA